TGTGCTTGTGCGCACTGTGTGATGTGCTTGTGCGCACTGTGTGATGTGCTTGTGCGCACTGTGTGATGTGCTTGTGCGCACTGTGTGATGTGCTTGTGCGCACTGTGTGATGTGCTTGTGCGCACTGTGTGATGTGCTTGTGCGCACTGTGTGATGTGCTTGTGCGCACTGTGTGATGTGCTTGTGCGCACTGTGTGATGTGCTTGTGCGCACTGTGTGATGTGCTTGTGCGCACTGTGTGATGTGCTTGTGCGCACTGTGTGATGTGCTTGTGCGCACTGTGTGATGTGCTTGTGCGCACTGTGTGATGTGCTTGTGCGCACTGTGTGATGTGCTTGTGCGCACTGTGTGATGTGCTTGTGCGCACTGTGTGATGTGCTTGTGCGCACTGTGTGATGTGCTTGTGCGCACTGTGTGATGTGCTTGTGCGCACTGTGTGATGTGCTTGTGTGCACTGTGTGATGTGCTTGTGCGCACTGTGTGATGTGCTTGTGCGCACTGTGTGATGTGCTTGTGCGCACTGTGTGATGTGCTTGTGCGCACTGTGTGATGTGCTTGTGCGCACTGTGTGATGTGCTTGTGCGCACTGTGTGATGTGCTTGTGCGCACTGTGTGATGTGCTTGTGCGCACTGTGTGATGTGCTTGTGCGCACTGTGTGATGTGCTTGTGCGCACTGTGTGATGTGCTTGTGCGCACTGTGTGATGTGCTTTGTGCGCACTGTGTGATGTGCTTGGTAGATAGGGAGGTGGGTGGCACTGTGCTGCGGATCCACGTGGGCATTAACACGCGGATACCATCCCAAGGGACGAGGTCGCGGCGAGGGGGCGGCAGGTGGTGAAGCAAGGAATGGCTATCTAACCATCCCCCAGGGGTGGGTTTGTGCAAAAGGCTGGTGTGAAGGCTCCATGCGGACCAACACGCGGATCCCGAGGGGCGAGGTGGCAGCAGTGGAGGAGCTGGTGATGAGGGGCGAGGCGAGGCCGTGTAAACAGAGGCGAGGCTTGCTCGCACTGGGAGGTGGGCGTGGTAGATGGGAGGTGAGTGGTTCTTGAGGCTACTGTGCTGCTGGTTAACATGGGGGCGGGTCAGCGGGCCAGGGGGTCAGGGGGCCAGGGGGTCAGCGGGTCAGCGGGCCAGGGGGTCAGGGGGCCAGGGGGTCAGCGGGTCAGCGGGCCAGGGGGTCAGGGGGTCAGGGGGTCAGCAGGCCAGCGGTTCAGTGGGAGAGCACCTCCCTGCCTCCCCTGGAGCACTCCCTGCCGCCCGGGAGCACTCCCTACCGCCCCGTAAGCACTCCCTGCCGCCCTGGGAGCGCCCCCTGGCGCCCCAGGAGCACTCCCTGCCGACCCGGGAGCACCTCACTCCTGCCCCGGGGGCACTCCCTGCCACCCCCCAGGAGCACTCCTTGCCGACCCGGGAGCACCTCACTGCCGCCCGGGGAGCACTCCCTGCCAACCCGGGAGCACTTTCTGCCGCCCCAGGAGCACTCCTTGCCGATCAAGGGCTGATGCCCACGCCAAACCCAAGGGCCCGATGCAAGCTCCCAATCCCAGGGGCATGCCGCCTGAGGGCAAGCCGCCGGAGGGCATGCTGCCCGAGGGGATGCCGCCCGAAAGGATGCCGCCCGAGGGCATGCGGCACAAGGGCAAGCTGCCCGAGGGCAAGCCGCCCGAGGGGAAGCTGTCCCAGGGCACGTCGCCCGAGGGGAAGCCGCCCTGGGGGATGCCGCCTGAGGGGAAGCAGCCGCCCAAGGGGAAGCCGCCCGAGGGGTAGCTGCCCGAGGGGATGCCGCCCAAGGGGAAGCTGCCCGAGGGCATGCCGCCCAAGGGGATGCTGCCCGAGGGGATGCCGCCCGAGGGCATGCCGTCCGAGGGGATGCTGCCCGAGGGCCGGCATTAATGCCAGGCATGCATGGTTCAAGAGCACACAATGGGACATCGTGACACAAAGTCCAGAAGAGCGTTCACACCGATAATTAGTGATAGTTAACGATTGAAGCCATTGTCTGTGGGAATTAGAGGGGGACACGAGCAGCGGTATGGTGACGGATGATAGCCACATGCCCACATGCCCACATGCCCACCCGACTTTTCAAGTTGCCCACCTGCCTTCAAGTACCCCACCTGCCCCCAAGTTGCTCACCCATGCGCAGATCTCCCATCATCTGTGGTGCCTTGAACCGTCCAGGTGCAGTTCGAGTCGACTCAAAGCACAGATGCCCACCCGCCCACCCACCCACATGCGCAGATCTCCATCATCTGCGGTGGCTCATACCGGCGTGGCAAGGCATCCGCGGGCGACATGGACTTCATTATCACTCACCCCGATGGCGCCAGGTGGGTCGAGGCGTAGACGGTACGTGGGGTGGGTGGGTTGGGGGGTTTGTGGGGTTGCCTCTGGCAGGGCATCAGCGGGCGACATGGATTTTGTCATCACCCCGACTGCGCCAGGTGAGGGGGGCGGATGGGGGCTAGTTGCGCTGCGTTGGGGGGGGGGCAGGGGGCTCGTGGCTTCATCATGGCGCCATGAAGTCCCCCTTGCGTTTCCTCCCATGCGCCCTCATTCCAATTCATCACCTGTCTCATTCCTGTGTTTTACCCCCACTCCCCGCTCTCCTGTCTCTTCCCCTCCTCCTCCTTCCCTTCCCCAAATCCCCCCATCTGCCACGCCACTTGTCCAGCCGTATTTTTAGTCGACTCAGAATCCACTTGTCCATCCATCGCGGCTTCCTGGAGAGGCCTATATCGCGTGTGAAGCACGTGGGCTTTGTCACAGAGGACCCTGTCGTCCTCCCCGCTTCCTGCCCCCATCCCCACCACCGCTGCTGCAGCCATCGTGGCTTCCTGGAGAGGCTTGTATCGCGTGTGAAGCACGTGGGCTTTGTTACAGAGGACCTGGTCGTTCTCCCCTCCCCTTCCATCCTCTCCGCCTTTCCCATCTCGCCCTCTTTTCTTCCTGCCCCCATTGCCTCGCTGCTGCGGCCATCGTGGCTTCCTGGAGAGGCTTGTATCGCGTGTGAAGCGCGTGGGCTTTGTTACAGAGGACCTAGTCGTTCTCCTCTCCCGTTCCATCCTCTCCGCCTTTCCCATCTCGCCCTCTTTTCTTCCTGCCCCCATTGCCTCGCTGCTGCAGCCATCGCGGCTTCCTGGAGAGGCTTGTTTCACGTCTGAAGCGCGTGGGCTTTGTCACAGAGGACCTAGTTGTTGGCACACACCACTCCAAGCAGGTGAGCCCACATCAGCCCTAACAGCTGAGCCCAAATCAGGTGTATGTGAGCGAGGGTACTTGAAACACGCATTAGGCTGAAACCTGGAATAGAGCCTGAGGCCTCGCTTTCACCCACTCCCTCCTTCTCCCCCAGCCGCACAGCAAAGGTAAGGGCAGGAGGACTCATGGGTGGGCGCCTGCTCTCTTGTTTGCGCTCCTGTCCTCACATCTCCTTCCTTGTTCTTCCCCCCCTCCTCTCCTCTCCGTCCTTCCCGCACAGCCGCTAGGTGAGGGCAAGGGCGTGGACACATACTTTGGTCTGTGCAGGGTAGCAGGCAGGGAGCAAGGGAGCAGAGGCATTGCATTGACCAGGTATTGTTTTCCCCCCCTCCCTTTCAACCCCCTCACTCGTATCATATCCCACAGCCGCAAGGGGAGGGCAAGGGCGTGGACACATACTTTGGTCTGTGCAAGCAAGCAGGCAGGGAGCAGCGGCATCGCATCGACTTCAAGGTACTGCTGCTGGTGTGCTGCCTTGAAAGGAACCAGTGCTGGGATTGCTTAAAGCCCCCCTGAGCCTGAGGGAGCAAAGGGGTCGCATCGACTTCAAGGTACTGCCATGCTATCCTATATGCATCGCGTCTGATCTGAACTCAATCCAGTCATTAACCGGCTGTAACGCTAGATGCACGCCCTTCCATTCATCTACAGATGTATATTCACAGTCGTTATTTTGTTACAGTAGTTATGCACTTGTATGTCTTATATCTGCAAATTTTCAAACCAACCCCTATGGTTCGTTCGTGTGTGCAGGTGTATCCGTGGGCGCAGTACCCCTTCGGCCTCATACAGTGGACTGGCAACGACGTGCTCAACCGACGGTGAGGGTGGTAGGGAGAAGGGATCGTGGGGTGGCAAAATTGACAGGCAGGATGGGGGATAGGGTGGGGCATAGGCAGTGAGGATGGCGGCTTGGTAGGTAGTATTGCCAGGCACACACACCAAGCACGGAAAAGCTGCCTTGGATTCGATCAGCGGAGGCGAATAAGTCGAGAAAACGCTCTGGCTTTGACTCATGCCCTTGTCTCTCCTCTCGCTACCTTCCCAGGAACACGGCCTCAATCCCCCCCACGTTCTGCATGCTGTGTGCGCGGTTGTTTGCGGAGGCCAGGGGCTACAGACTGGATAAACCATGGTCTTGTGTCTCCCTGTTATCCTTATCCGCGTGTCCATGCAACAGAATGAGGCTGTTTGCGGAAGCCAAGGGCTATAGGCTGGACGATCATGGTCTCGTGTTGCGAGACGCTGTAAGATGCATGCCTCACATGCAGACGTTCCTCTCATGCCCCACATGCATCACATGCCCACATGCAAACTTGCATCACATGCCTCACATGCATCACATGCCCACATGCAAACTTGCATCACATGCCCCACATGCATCACATGCCCACATGCAAACTTGCATCACATGCCTCACATGCATCACATGCCCACATGCAAACTTGCATCACATGCCCCACATGCATCACATGCCCACATGCAAACTTGCATCACATGCCTCACATGCATCACATGCCCACATGCAAACTTGCATCACATGCCTCACATGCATCACATGCCCACATGCAAACTTGCATCACATGCCTCACATGCATCACATGCCCACATGCAAACTTGCATCACATGCCTCACATGCATCACATGCCCACATGCAAACTTGCATCACATGCCTCACATGCATCACATGCCCACATGCAAACTTGCATCACATGCCTCACATGCATCACATGCCCACATGCAAACTTGCATCACATGCCTCACATGCATCACATGCCCACATGTAAACTTGCATCACATGCCTCACATGCATCACATGCCCACATGCAAACTTGCATCACATGCCTCACATGCATCACATGCCCACATGCAAACTTGCATCACATGCCCCACATGCATCACATGCCCACATGCAAACTTGCATCACATGCCTCACATGCATCACATGCCCACATGCAAACTTGCATCACATGCCTCACATGCATCACATGCCCACATGCAAACTTGCATCACATGCCTCACATGCATCACATGCCCACATGCAAACTTGCATCACATGCCCCACATGCATCACATGCCCACATGCAAACTTGCATCACATGCCTCACATGCATCACATGTATACATGCACACATGCCTCACATGCATCACATGCACCACATGCATCACATTTTACCATGTCCCGAGTTCGCCCCTTCTCTGTGAGATGCCCATGTTGTGCACCCAGCCCTACCATCCACCATTCCTCGTGACTCCCACCCCTACCAGCCACTGAGAGCCGCGCCAGCCACCTGTTGAGTCGACTCAAAAGCGCTACCATCCACCATCCACCATCCACCATCCACCATTGCTCGCTCCCACCCCCACCAGCCACCAGGCACAACAGCAGCCAAGTCAGTTCCGTGCAAGACGAGAGGGATGTGTTTGACTTCTTGGGCCTGCCGTGGCTGGAGCCCCACGAGCGCAATCTCTGACATCTCTGACAACCCTGTCGGAGCAGAATCTCTGACACCTCTGACAACCCTGTCAGAGCAGAATCTCTGACATCTCTGACAACCCTGTCAGAGCAGAATCTCTGACATCTCTGACGCCGGTAGCAGAATTTGTAAGAGCCGGGCCCCTGAGAGGAATCTATGTTAGGTGTGGCTGATGGCTATAAGCAATCCCATGCAGAGAGTGTTATCTTCCTAATAGAATGTAGCATGGACAGGAGAAGCCATTGTTGCAGTCTGCACCTGTTCTCACCATCACCTTATCCACGAGGCTTGATGCTGTGTGGGTGTGTCCCTCGCTCCGCAAAAAGTGTCAGCCGCTCCGCCAAAAGTGTCCAAAGGTGAATCCAAAATTTGGCTAACATGTCTATTCAAAACAATGTTCCATTCAATCACCTCTGAGGCAGGAACATAAGAAACATTTCCTAATCCTCTAACCTATCATCATTGCATGTAGTTAGGCGGCAACACAGGATGGGAGGGGCTTTTATAGAGTGACGGGTGTACGAAGGGGATGAGCGCCAGGGTGATGGCATGCTCGTAGTACGTCTGACGTGTGATCTCCCCATTGGTCAGGTGCCCCACTGTGCCCCCGCGGGACTTGCTGCCCTGTTGGCTGAACACCTCGTCTGTTGCTGCGCCCAGCTCCATGCCCCCTGGAGGATCACAATAACGGGGATCACAATAACGAGGATAGCAGAGATGAGGATAACAGAGCGGAAATGGACGCTGGCTTGGACGTAGAGTTAAAGGTGTGGTAGAATGAAGCAGATACAGTAGAAGGAATGTAAGGGTGAAGCAGATATGGTAGAGTGAAGCAGGTATGGTAGAGTGAAGCAGGTCTGGTAGAGTGAAGCAGGTATGGTAGGGTGAAGCAGGTATGGCAGGGTGAAGCAGGTATGGTAGGGTGAAGCAGGTATGGTAGAGTGAAGCAGGTATGGTAGGGTGAAGCAGGTATGGTAGAGTGAAGCAGGTATGGTAGGGTGAAGAAGGTATGGTAGGGTGAAGCAGGTATGGTAGGGTGAAGCAGGTATGGTAGGGTGAAGCAGGTATGGTAGGGTGAAGCAGGTATGGTAGGGTGAAGCAGGTATGGTAGAGTGAAGCAGGTATGGTAGGGTGAAGCAGGTATGGTAGAGTGAAGCAGGTATGGTAGGGTGAAGCAGGTATGGTAGGGTGAAGCAGGTATGGTAGAGTGAAGCAGGTATGGTAGAGTGAAGCAGGTATGGTAGGGTGAAGCAGGTATGGTAGATTAAAGCAAGTATGGTAGAGTGAAGCAGGTATGGTAGAGTGATGACTCTGCACCAGTTCTCCCCTTCCCCCCCCTATCACAATTTGCCGCCCCGCCTGCGATCCCCCTGTCTAAACCTTCACCCAACCCTCCAACCATACAAACCTTGCCCTTCCCCCCCTTTCCTTTTACTCCCCCTTCAACCCCCCCACCCTCCCCCCTCCCCAACCTTCCTCTTCCCCCCACCTCCAACCCACCTTCACCCCACCTCCCCCCCACCTCCCCCCCACCGCCCTCCACCCTTCCCCCCACCCTTCTCCCCACCTCTCAGACCCCCCTCCCCCGCCCCCCACCTTGCACCAGTTCCGACAAGGGCGGTGGCAGCATGAACGCGGCTGTCCGCGCTCTCGTCTCCCCCGATATCGCGCTCCCCCCGCCTCCCCCTAGGCTTCCCCCGTTCACTCCGCCAACCACGCCTCCTCTCCTCCCCGCTGCCCCTTCCCCTGCCCCTCCCCCTCCCGCGTCCCCCCCTCCTCTCCCCTGCTGCTGCCGCGCGTTTGCCGCCCCAGGCGCCGCGCCCCCCCCGCCCTCCCCGCTTCCGCCAACAACCGCGCCGTCCGCCTCCGCCTCGTCCTCCGCGCGCGCGGACGTCGACAGCACGACCGCCCACGCGAAGCACATAAGCTGCGGGGGGTCGGAGAAGCGGCACCACTCCACACCCCCCTCGATCGCCACCACGAAATCCGCGCCTTCCGCCGCGCTGCTGCGCGCCACGTGCATCAGCCGGTTCCGCGCGCCCGCGAGGGTTTCCGCGTCGCCCATCGGCTGATCCGACACGCCGGAATCGGCGGGATAGCCTTCTAACTCGAATGACTCGTGCGGGAATAACCGCCGGAGCGCGTCGCCGGCGGCGTTAATCTTCACTGGGTTCCTCGAAGCCACGACCACGCGACGTTCACGGTGCCGCCGATTGTCGGAACTGGTCTCCCCGCGAGAGGCGATCTCCGTGAGGGTGTCCGCGCGCCCGTCTGTGCGCCCGTCCCCGCGGCATGCTTGCGCCTGCGCGCGGTTCCTTCCGCCCGGGGAGTGGTGCGGCTGCAGCGACACGCGTGCGGAGGACTGGTGATGCGCCGCGACGCGCGACGGGAATATGGCCTCGTAGGTCATACCGGGCGTGCGTGCACGTGCGCGTGCGCGTGCGCGGGGCTAGTATTCGATCAGGATCGCGCCACGGTCGCGCTGGTCGACCAGGGTTGTTTCGTTACAGGCACAGCGACGCAGCCTGATAGTGTCCTCACGATCAGGATTCAACAAAGACACAGCGGTCGGTCAAAAAAAAGGAAGAAAAAACTCCGCCGAATGATCGTGGAGCCCGGAAGTATCCCCGCTATGCGATCATAAGGAGTGGCGTTCGGCAGGCTTACGGGAAAGCCTTAGAGCTTGGCGTGAGCGAACTATGCGAAACTAGTCTACCAAACGACCAGCCCGTGCGACGAAGGGATGGGAAGGCGACAAAAAAGTGTCGCACAATGACGGGCTGGGCGGTTTTGGCGCAAAGGCCGAGCTGAGAGGTGATGCGAGGACGTGAGGGGACTCGATACGCGTTGTGAAAGATCCGCTAAAGTAGACTCGGTCTGTGCGAAGGATCACATAAAACAGTTAATATACTGGTAAGATTGACTGATATGATTTGAAAGAAGGAATGCCAAGCCAACATAAAAGCATAGGAACTTTAGGACCATAGAATTGTTCTGCTGCAATGATCCTCCTTACGAAGCTCTCCGCTGCATAGCCTGCAAGATCTCCTGCAAATCATCATCATCCTCATCATCATCATCCTCATCATCCTCATCATCATCATCCTCCGTCCGTGCAGCATTTTCGTTCCTTCCCCGTCCCAACTTTCCTGCCCCTAAACCTTCAAGCTGATTTCTCCCATCACTCAATGCACCCTTGACATCCTGCGGACTGGTATCTCCAAACAGATCCCCTTCCACCGGTCCAGCCCCATCCCCTACTCCTCCATCCTCCTCATCGTCGTCGTCAGAATCCCCATCTTCCACCACTAGTGCAGTCACTGTTGACACACCTGCTGCTATTGCCACTGGAACTGCAGACGCTGCCAATGGAACAGGCTTCACGCCTGCTGCCGCGGCCTTTGCTACCCCTCCCGCTGCCCCCCCTCCTTCAAACCGGCTGTGCCCCACACCTCCCCGCCCTGCAGTTCCTCCTCCCGCTTGTCTCCCGTAAGTCTCCACACTTCTGGTTCTCGCCAGCTGCCGCTCCTGCCCTTTGAGATGTGCCACCGCTGCGACTGCCACACCACCAGGAGCACCAGCAGCGCCAGGAGAGCCACCACCAGCAGCAGCAGCACCAGAGGTGCAGCCACTGAACGTTCTTCCCAGGCGGTTGGTGGGTTCGGCCGGAGCACTGGAGGTAGTATCGGCGGGGGCAAATAGGTCCTCGTCCACTGCTGCCCCAGCAGTAGCAGGAGCAGCAGCAGCAACAGCAGCATCATCATCATCGTCATCATCATCCGAGTCATCATTACCTGCCCCAAACAAATCCTCATCAACTGCTGCTCCCTCCCGACCCGTTGGGCCGAACAGATCCGCATCGACCCCCACGCCCTCCCCTCCCCCCGCCACACCCCCCTCCTTGCAACTCCCCCCTCTCCTCCCCTCCTCCAAGCCCCGTTTCCCCGCAGCACCAGGCAGAGGCGGACTGCCCCCACCCACGTCCCTGCCCCCTCCCGGAAAATGCATGCCCTTCTCAGAGTGCGACCTGGCAGGCGGTCTAAGGGCGCTGTAAAGCATCTCGGCCTGGCGGCTGGTGAGAGAGTGCGAGCCCACGCCCCCCATACCACCCATGCCACCCATCCCACCCCCTAATCCACCACCCAAGCCACCACCACCCCCCACGCCTCCACCTGCTCCCACTCCTTGACCTAGTCCAGCCTGGGAGCCACCACCGCCAGTGCTGCTGGAATGGAGGGGCGAGAGGGACGACGCACAGGTGTTGGGACCCGAGCCAGGGGGGTGGGCTCGCACCGTGTCCCCTGACCGGCTTCTCAGCAGCGGCGGCTTCGCGGCTTCCTCTATCAGCATCGCTGCTTTCCCCACTGCTGCTGCTGGGCTGCCATGCCCGCTGTGGCTGCTGTGGCCCACAGCCTTGCTTGCTACAGCCGCTACAGCCGCTGCTGCTGCAGCTGCTAACCCTCCCTTCGCCGAGTGCCCCCCTGGCCCCCCTGCGCCCAATGCCGCCCCCCCAACGCCCCCAGATTTGCTCCCATGCGCGGAAGGGACAGGCGGGGGGCCGCCCCTGCCCCTCCCCCCTGCGCCCCCTGCTCCAGGCTTCCCTTCCCCCCCGCTTCCGCCCACTCCACTTCCCCCTGCGCCTGTTCCTGCCCCGCCGCTTCCCCCGCTTGCCCCGCTTGCCCCGCTTCCAGTGCCACTACTCCCGCTTCCTCCTACTAGTAACGCCCCCTCGTTCCGTCCCCTAGACTTGGACTTGGTGAGCTGCTTGTACTGCGACAAGAACTCCTCGTCCGAATCACTACTCTCCCCCTCCTCCGCGTCTTTCCCGCCCACGCTGTGCGCTGCCTTCGGCGGGGACCCGCCACTTCCCCCCCCCCCTCCACTACCCGCGGTTTTCCCCAGTGGAGCAGCCAGCGGAGTGGGGGAGCCTGGGTCGTGCGGGGGGGGCTCTACTCCACCTGCGCCGCCCGCAAACGGAGAAGCGAGCGGAGTAGGGGAGCCCGGGTCATGGGGGGCGGCTTCCGCCACTGCAGCTCCGCCCGTTGGCGCGATTTGCAGCGGGCGGACGGAACCAGCGCGGGACGCCAGGGGCTCCGCCAGGGGCGTCGGAGATCCCAGGTCACGTGGTGGCTTCTCCGCGGAGGAAGGCGCAGCGGAGACTGGCGGAGGGCGGGAGGACGCGCACCCGCGGGAGGCCAGCGGGGCGGCGAGGGGAGTAGGCGAGGCGGGGTCATGCGGGGAAGGTTCGGTTACCGCTGCTGTGGAAATGGGAGCGGGACGAGCGGCGGAAGCAGCGGAAGCGACAGCGGGCGTGCGCGCAACAGGCGCAGCAAGCGGAGTCGGGGATCCACGGTCGGCCGCCTGCGCGGAAGCACCTGTGGCGGAACCCGCAAGAGGCGCTGCTAGGGGAGTAGGCGAGCCGGGGTCGTGCGGAGGAACTTCCGCCAATTCCTCCCCCCCATCCAGCGCGGACGCGGTACCCGCGGAAGCCGCGGCACCGAGCGGAGCAGCGAGGGGAGTTGGCGAGGGGAGATCAAACGTCGTGAGCCCTGTCACATCCACAACCCCCGCGCTGGTTCGCACGGTCAGTGGCTTCTTAGGACCCGCCGAGGGCCCCGCCTTCGGCCCTCCGTCCTTAGAATGAGAACCAGTAGTACTATGGGTATTAGGGTGCGCCTTAGAATGCGGCACATGGGTATGCGGCCTGGAGTGACACGCACCAGCACCAGCACCAGCACCACCAGCACCACCAGCATTGGACCCATGGCTGAGACCATGGCTCCCGTCCGTTACGCGTCGATCTGGACCCCCGCTCTCCTCCCCCTTTCCCCGACCCTGCTGCGTAGGTCTGGCACCGTGCCTACCTCCAGGCCCGACAGGACGAGGATCGGCGTGCAAACCTCCACGGCCTCGACCCCTCCCGCGCGCTCCGCCGCAATCCTCGCTGATGACGTGTCCATCGCGCCTCGAGCCGGCGATTTGATCAGCACTTCCCGGGTTGCCGTCTCTGCAGGGAGCCGTTACTCGTTGACGCCGGCCCTGGTTACGGCCTGACGGGGTATCAGGATAAAGCTCTTCTCCCGCCGTTACTGTAGAAAAGCGGTTAATATTATTAGAAGATGAAATTGGCGTCGCGACTGGAGCGTCGTCGTCGAGAAAAGGGTCGTCGGAAGGAGAGAGGGTGTCCGGTTGTCGATACGGGGATGCTGGATTAGCGGCAGACCCGCCAGGCACGAACGCGCCATTGGCGGCGGCTGGCTTCCGACAAGACGGATTGGGGGAACCGTGATGGGTTGCGCGCGCGGGATTCATGGCGACTAATAGTGGCTAACGGCTCCTGATTACATAAATAGTTGGCGGTTTCTGTTCATCGCCATCCGCAACACTCGTTAGCTGAATCATAGTTCAAAAGGCAGAAAAAGGCACAAGGTGAGGACACCCTACAATAGGAATCATGGACAGTAGGGATCATTCCGTGGCTCATGGCATGGGAGGTGAGAAAGCTGACGAGCTGGCGAGGCAACACCCTTGGCCCGTAGATACAGTACCGTACACCCAACAACTTCAAGATAAGGTAGTGAGTGACGGTGACTGGCTGACTAACTGCGGGGCCGACGATTCTCGTCTCATTGCCTGAACCTCGCGCAAACACAAGGACGGGCATTTCTGAAATTCTGACGGCAAATTTCGAGGTCTCGGGTTTTTTCTGGTGACTGCTTTGGTTGGTGGGACATTTACCGTACGAGGTTGTGTGGTTGGAGGTTCGGCAAGTGCGCAGTGACCGAGGTTGAGAAATAAATTCGGCATAAGAGGCTTCGAATGAGTTAGATACAAGAAAAGCATTTCAAATCACTTAAAAGATGACAATTAATCAGATGCCCACAATCACATACAATGCCTCAACTCCTTGGAGAAGCAAAAACTAAGTAGAGGGCTTGATTAAGGGGGGCAATCCTCAGATATAAAGTCGATTGTGGAGCTGAAGCTCACTCTCCTCCTGTGTGTCACCTTCTTTTGCCCCGGCGTAGGGCTCTTGGGAACAAAATATTCTGTCATCCCAGGAGGTGAAAGACTCCGAAGACAGAACTCCGTGCCCCAAGAATTGTGAATCTTGGCATACTTTTTAATACCAGCAGTGTCCAAGCTAGTGGTGCGCAACACCCTTGCATCGAAATGTTCCTGTGCGTTAGGAGAGGCAACAATCGCTCGATCACCAGCTTTCTCAACTTGTGAGCGGTGCTGCTGCTGCTGCGTTTTGAAGGAACGGACCTCGTGTCGCCTCTGTAAACTCAGGCAGATAGGACTCTGCGGTGCGCGTCTTGCCATGACCCTCTCCTGATGCTCCTCCTGCCACGCCTCTTCCTGCCTCTGCACCTGCTCCTTCTGCACCATCAGCTCCATTCTCTGCCACTCCTTCTGATGCTGCTGCCGCACCTGCAGTCGCTGCTGCTCACCCTCCTCCATTTCCTCCTCCTCTCCCTCTCCCCCCCCCTCCTCCTCTTCCTCCCCCTTGTGTGCATGCACGTGCCATTCTCCTTTACCATTCCCACCCCCCTCCTCTTTGTGTTCTGGCTGCCGCTGCTGACTCAGCCTCCTCTGCTGGGCGTCCTGCGGCATCTGCTCCTGCTGCTTCGCCTGCTCCTGCTGCAGAAGGTGCTCCGTTTGAAGCTGCTTCAGCTGCGCCTCTAGCGACTCAACCTGCGCCTGCAGCTCGTCATTCGACATGTTTCGCCGCCGCCTCTGAGTCTGCCCCATGGCCTGCATCCTCTGCTGCTGCTGCACCGACGGCGGCATTGGTGGCGCCTCAGTCATTTTCTTCTCCTGAAGCTGCTGCTGCTGCTGTTGTAGCTGCTGCTCTTGCTGCTGCTGCTGCAGCCACCACTGTCGCACATACTCCCCCTGCGCCTGCTCCGGGCTGAGGTGCCTCTCCCCCCCTCGCTTTACTTCTGCCTCACTCTTCACTCTCCCTGTCGAGCTCCGGTGCACAGCCCCCTCCCCCCTCAACATTGCCTTGCGACTTGGCGACACATGCTGCTGCTGTTTTATCGGCTGATGCGTCTGCTGCTGCTGCGTCTGCTGCTGCTGCGTCTGCTGCGTCTGCGTCTGCTGCTGCTGCTTCTGCTGCAGCTGCAGGAGACCCTGGCTCTTGACTTGAGGAGAAGCGATGGGCGCAGTGAAGGGAGAGGATGCGGCGCCATCAGCACGGGCTCGCAACTCTCTCAGGCAAGGGCTGGACGGCGACCGAGGCATCGGCATCGGCAACGGCAACATGCCCCATGAGGAGCATTCGCCACCTGCCAGGCGCGGGGAGTTACCTGCGCCCCCCCCGCCCCCCGCGCCCCCCGCGCCCACGCTGGGCCCCGCGCCCTCCCCCGCGCCCTCCAGCTGCAGCTCCGCGGAGCGCGCGCCCTCACGGCGGAGGCCCCCCGCGCGCGTTCCGTCAGCGGCATCCGCGCGGCCGTCGTCGCCCGTGACCGCCGCGTGCTCCGGAACGCTGCGGATGGGGAACTCGTCAGAGAATTGCCGCTCGCCCCCCGCGCGCCCGTCCGCGGCTTGCGGCGCTTTCCCCCTGCCGCTGAACGGCCCGGGCCCGCTGCTTGCCAGCAGCGCGCGGCTGCCCCTTCCGCTTATGATGCTGGCGCGCGGACCGAGCGCGCCCGCGGCGGAGGCGACGGCGACGGCGGCGGCGGCGGCTGCGCGCTGCTTGGCGGCGACCCCGTAGAGCTGCACGAACTCGTCGTCGGAATCGGACGAGTCGGAAAAAGCCTCCGCCGTGGCGGAACGAGACGCCCCCAAGGAGGCGGAAGCGCAGCTTTCCGCAACCGACGGCGTTGGCTGGACCAGCCACGTGGCGGAGAGCCGCTCGAGTTCTCGGCGACAAGACGTGCTCGAGAGCTCGTCGCTGGACGACTGCCGCCGCGCCAACCTGCCCTTCGCCGCCACCGCCGCCGCCGCCGCCGCCGCCGTCGGGCCCGCCGTGTCCGCCGCGGCGGCGTTCGGGGGAACGCTTCGAACGCTATTCGAGGAGCGGCTTCTGGGGAACGACGCTGGCTTGCCGCCTTGCCTTGACGACAACGCGGCAGCGGAATGCGCTCGCCTCGGAACGTCTTCACCACCAGCAGCAGCTCCGAGTCTGCCGGCGGCGCAAGGTGATGCTACTGGCGGCCAGCCAGGAAGCGGTTTGAGGCTCCCGCAATCCGTGGCGCCAGCACTAGAAGTACTAGCACAACTACTATTAGCAGCAGCTGTGGTAGCATGATCATTGCAGCTGTGATTATTGCCGTCGCAAGATGCGCTTCTGAAAATGCCCCCCTGCGCCCCTGTTGGGGGCCCGCCAACGGTCCCCCTTGGAGAGGGTGGCGGAGCGGTTCCGTACTTCGGGGAAGCTACTAGCGCCGGAACAGTTCCGTACTCCGCAGCGGCTCGGTTTCGCTCCCCGCGCCGCACGATCACGACCTCCGTCCGCTGCAAAGGCGGCGGCTCCGAGCCGCACGGGAGATTTTTTACACGGCGCGGCTGCCGACCCGAGCTCCCGCCGCGATCCGCCCAAACACTTGCGCCGCCGGCGGCGGCGGCAATAGCGCCTGCTCCGCTGGAGCGGCTCCTGCGGAGCCGCGACCCCTCTGCCTCCTCCTGCGCTCCGCTGCGCCACGCGCTGTGGGTCGACGCGGACGGCGCGGAGACGGGGCCGGGGGAGTACATGACCGCGGCAGAGGCGGAGCACGGGGAGGCGGAGAACGGGGAGGCGGAAGAGCCGCAGAAGACGTCGGGGCTGGCGGTTGCGGAGGAAGCGGCGGAAAGGGGCGGCGAGAAGGGGTTGCTGGGGGAAGGGCGGCAACTGGGGGAATCGACTCCGCCATTATTACCGCTACTATGGCAACCGCCAGCGAGATTAACCTTGGTGAAATCCGGTAGCGACGGCGTTCTAAGTGTGATGCTTAACGGGCGCGAAGGGAGGCGCCGGGGAAGATTTGACGAGAAGCCACGTCGGCCCGACGGGGTAGCGCCGCCGCCGCCGAGGGAAGCGGACTCTGGAAACGGGACTCTGGGGATGGCGGCATGCGCAGACGAGGCGTGGGGAAGCGGAATGTCCGCGGCAAGGTCTTCCATGGCGCCTCTGCGGTGTTCCTCCGCCATTGCCGCTGCTCTGGATTCTTCTAATCGCGGTGTATCGGTCGTCGTGATTGTGGTGGTGACCCTCCTATTCGAGTTTCATGTGAGATACTAAAACGTGGAGTTTACTAGGGCGTGGATCGGAAATGGCTGATGGAGTGAGATTCGCTGTGAGGAGAGGTGGTGCCAAGACGCAAAGACTCGAAGGCCACGACTCGAAGGTTCATAATTAAGCGGCTCTTCTCTTCTCTTCTCTCCTCTCCAAACGACGAACCCGCACGCGCGACCTGAGCATCTCATCCCGCGTCGAAATATCCGTTCATGCATCTACAGATGAGCGCTGAGCTGGCACGCACGTGCCGGCGGTGGTTCCACGGTCGAGAGCTTAGCGAGGAGGCGGGTTTTAGGGGCGGGAAATTCTCGCGACGCTGCAGACACCGTGTCATTGCAGCACGTGACGTGCGTGTATCAGTTTTGTGGTCCAAAGGCGACCTGGGCTAAGACGATCATTCCAGAGGATCCAGCGAATCACGCGGCTAGATGTTATCGCGGTAGCGTACGCACTTGCGCTGCTTGGCGGGTGTGGGATATGCACACTGGCAGGCAGAAGGATTAGGTACTGGCTAGTTGTACAACGGCAGAAAATGGTGCTGTAACCAGTTATAAATGAATTGAAGCTGTACGGGGTTGGAGGTGATACAATGGCAGTCAATGGCGTCTGGCGCTAAATTCATAAAAAAAATTCCCATCCCATGCCCTGGCATTCTGAACAAGAAACAACTGGTTGGAGGTGGTGAGCGGGGCCACGTCCTTCGAGGCTAAACACTCGTAATGTTTGTAAATTTCGGGTGGAAAATGTCCAACTCATGGAAAACGTGCTTTCAATCTCGGATAGCCTGGTGACACTATGTTGGTCCTTTGATGGCACCGCGCAAGTGCCGTTGTTTTCGGTTAGTTTGGCCTGGGTCTCATTCCTCATAAAGTATCGACTTCGATTCAAAATTGGCGACTAGGAGAGCGAGGAGGTTAGAAAAATTGAAGGGTTTGCAGTACCAGGTGGAATACAATGAATAACCGACGACTGGACTGGATCCCTACCCTGGGCAGCCAGGGGTCAATGCGGTGATTGTCAGCGGTTCACACTTGTGAAGCGCACTGCAGTCGAGGAAACGACGAGCCTCTCGACCTGCGATGCGAACCTGCAGAAGCCATGATTGACGGAGCGAATCGCATTGTAAGGCTGATTCCAGACATGAGGCGACAGCACGAATCACGCTGCCAGGGTGGTCTCCTGGATGGCACCGTGGCCCGAGTGAGATGAGAAACCCACCATGTTGAAGGGTGGAGGACACAAAGAGCAAAGTGGGGTGGTCTGTGGTGGGGTGCGGCTGGCTGGCCAACTGTATCCCGAGTCGCGACTTGGCAACTGGGGGCTATGCCGTGTCCTCGGTAATGAGAATGACCTTACACACCCTGCTGCCCACCAACAAGCAGCGTCATGCCCATCTTGATATATATTTGAACCTACGATGTATGGGAAGCCAAACCAGTACTACTAACACTACACACTAGGTGCCTTAAAAAAGCATATATGCTACTACCGTTACATCTGGGTTGGGTGGCTGTGGTGCGAAATGGAGCTGTCAAAGGATGTAAATCGAAGTTATAATATTCCTAAGAACATTAACTATAGGTAAAAGAGTATGCATACATGTGTGAAGTTTTTATGATGCCACAACTCATAATTAGAGTGATATTTATGCCTTCGTAGCTACGGTTTTCATATGTGCGTTGTGATTTAGATGGTGTTACACGTTCCATTTTCATACTTAACGGGGAACAGTTTTCGCACGGTTTCTGATCCGATGCGATATTATTTATCAGAAAGTGTTGTCCAGCTCAAGAAAGGACATCTCCACATCAGCTCTCGTAAGGTGAGTGATCTTCAAATCCGATCAGCTATAACGTTGCAATCATCGCCCAACTTACCACGTCACGACACGGTCACAGCAGGATTTTCAAAGCTGCTGCCGACGCCACGTTGGCCTGCTCTGTTCTGCGAGCGCAGAAAAACGAATTTTCTGCACCCTGGTTCGAGGGAGACCCCCTTGGATTGGATGTGGAGATTGCCACAATCATGAATGTTTCACTCAGCTGTACTGTACAGCAATCTGCCCATGGGCAGCATGAACAGCATAAGGCGAACGATTCACGGCGTGTTGACAGCTTGCACAATTCGATAGTCTGAATTGTCCTTCGGCGGATTGGAAACAGCCTGGCGCGACTGTGAGCGAGGTACAGTAGAGCTCCACCTTTTCCCCCTACAAAGGGTACGCTCTATGCTCCAAATCCGCGACTCGCAAATATGGACTACGACGAATAAGAGCGGTTCACTACGGGCAAAATGGATTATCAAGTAGCACGTACGGTTTTAGGTGGGGTGGCGTAGGTCGTTTTACTCTTTTTGTTCACGATGGGTGCCTTGGCGTATTGGTCCTAGGGCCAGGTTACCAGCGACTTCGCCGCGTGTCATGTGAGGGCTCATGTGGCTTCTTAAAATAACGTTCAGCAAATTTGTCGTCTGGTCAGAATTACCGCGGACAATATAAGTAACACCTCGTTCTCGACCTTCCGCAAGCAGCGCAGGCTCAAAACGCGCAAATCATATAATTTGAATAACCTTTTTCTTGGTCTCACGAAAAGGACTTAACATAACGAATTTATGACGACTCGCCTGGGTGATTTCGTTAACCAATCACACACTTTCACGAATGTGAAAAAACCATTGAAGAAAAACATTTTCGAAATGTGCATTGGTTAATGGTGATTGAGGGACCGTGGGTCGTGTTTTCGTATTCAGGACGGACCTGTTCGTGTCACGCAGAAAGCCTGAATATTTACGTCATTGGTTATAAAACATGGAAAACGCCTCGCATGTTCTTGACAGGAGGACGGGGGTACCAGCTGGCTGCCGCCCCCGGGTCCGTCGGGATTACGTCTGATCGCCCTGGAAAGCGCGGATTGGCCGGGCAATTCCAAGCACAGTTCACGATAAATTTCCGAGCTCGCACTCGCGGGTTGGTTGGCGAAACTCGCATGCTGGGATCGCACCCAATTCGGGTGGCGCGACTCGATGGTCGGTGGCATTATGCGACTGTCGTGCTTGGTCACAATGTTTTATTGCGCCTTTTTAGCGAAGTCAACAGTTGATGTATACCGTACAGACGGAGTACATCGTGGCCGATCTTATCGAATTCCGGACCTTGGAGTATTACGTGGAGTAAAATGTCGTGGACCTAATGGCATACCCGCTGTACCCTCTCTCCACTCAGCCCCCTAGTGCCCGCCCCACCCCACCAAGGCGTTCCTTTCCTGGCGCGGGAGTTGGTCCCGCGAGGCTATGCTGTGGTCATGCAGCATTTTATCCTCGCCTGGTGGCGCAAAGCAAAAGCGCTCGTTCCTTTCCGCTTCCGCCAGGGCCAATGGACACTGCCAGCGCACCACCCCTGCAGCCCGCTTCATCCGCGCCGTCACTCCCCATCTTGCGCCATCGAATTGCGCTGCTGTTGGTCTCGTCTCTTCCAACAGCAGCGCAATTCGATGTGTGCCCCTTCCATCCATCGCGCTGCTGTACAGTGCAGATCCAGATTCCGATCGGCGGAAGGGGCATCTCCAAGCATTCCGCCAGGCTTGCACGAAGGACCTCCGCCGCCGCGTCCATTCACCGCGCGTTGCATACTGAAAAATCAATGGTGGGCCCACCTCATCCCATAAGCTCGCAACTATCTTATCCGCTCCACGCACCTCCATCAGCGACCACTTTTGGCTGGCTCCTCTCCTTCGCCTTCCCTCCTGCGAAGCACCGCATTTCACGCGTGCTTTGATCAGCTTCTTGCGAAGCGAGTCGCTTCGAACTGCGGAGACACTACGCCCCCTCCCGCCACGCCCCTCACCACCCACGTAATAGTCGTATCTTTGGACGTCCGACAGCTCGCCACCCTCATAGCACCCAAGACGCGGCTCCCATTCGCCGCCATGGACGGCGCCGCCTGCGACGATGACACCATTCTCCTGCTCCTACCAGACGGCGGCGTGCGCATGTTCTCCGCCGCGCGCCCCGGCGACCCGCCGCTCCTCGCCGCCGACATCCTCGCGGAGTTCCCCGCCTGCCGCGTCTGCCGCCTCGACTCCCCCTCGTCGCCAGGCCGCTCCGCCTGCCTTTCCCCGCGCGCCGCGCTCCGCCCCGGAACCACGTACTTCCTCGTCGAGCCTGTAATGGGCCGCGATTTCTGCGGCCTGGACCCCGTTACAATGGAACCCATTACAAGTTTCGGCCCTTGCGTGGAGTCTGCCTATCGACCCAAGAGCGCCGGCGGCGCCGCGGGGCAGTTTCCCGACTTTATGGAGACTTCGAGAGGCTGTTTCCCCACAGGCGCACCACATGGGTTTTCCCACTCCAGAAATCCTAGCACCAGCAGCAGCGGGAGCAGCAATGCGAGCAGCAACAGCAGCATCAGCAGCAATGGCGGATCCGGTGGATGCGGCGGCAGCGAAAAGAGCTCCGGACCTCGGCGACTGATTCGCGGACTCACGTCTCCCGCCGCCGCAGGGGGAACCGCGCCGCCCGCGCACCGTTCGCAAAGCTTCCGCCCTGCCGCTTCGCCTTCCGACGCGCCCGAGCCGTTCGACATGACCGCTGCCGCGGCAGCCGCCGTGGCATGCGGCGGAAATGGCGCGTCTCCCCTGTCGCCTATGACGGTCTCCTCGGGGCCTTACATCTCGCGCGCCGCTTCGTGGTCCGCCGCCTCCGCCGCCTCCCCTTCCGGCTGGGCGGACGCCTGCGACGCCGCGCTTAACTACGGATCCGCGCACGATTTTCCCCCCGCGCGATCGACCCTAGACCCGCCGGAATTTCCGCCAGTGCGGTCGCGCCACGCGTCGGCGGAAGACGCGGCGTTTGAGTTTATCAAGCAGCACAACGCGACGACGTCCTCCGCGAGCCGGCGGTTCCAGCGCGCGCCGCTCTCCCCCGCGCCTCTGCCCCCGCGCTGTTCCGCGCAGCAGCAGCAGTCCGCGCGAGAGCAGCAGTCAGCAGCAGCTGTGCTGGGCGCAGGCGCTTCCGGCAGGCTGGGGGTGCAGCGGAGCAGCAGTACGCGCAATAAGATCGTCTCGCTTGAAGACATTGTGTACGGGCGGGTAACATCATGAGCAATCTGCACCACCGACTTTCGGTCGAATATGGCATCCTGCTCCCACTCTGAAGGGGTGCACTTCGCTGCTCCGCTCAGTAGGTGTGATTTTATCCCCGTTTTCAACAGGCTGCCTCCGGTTAATGGTCCAACGGGTGACCAATGTGTGTACATGTGTTTTCCCAAGGGCGTGGCACATCCTAATGGATTCCACACCACCTTGGTTGTGCAGTGTTTGTCTCCAGGCGTTGTACTCGCCCGAGAGCTTCTGTCGCTGCACATCTGTAACCACGAATGATATGGCTTGTTCACTCACCAGCTTCTCTCAGCTACCAGTAGGTAATTCCACAATCTGTCAGCTTTGCATAATGGACAAACCAGTAAAAACCATCACTACGAGCAGCCAGTAGCAATGGAAGAGATGTATCCCCAGTTCTTTCGCATTATGTAATTTTTTGAAAGCGTGTAACACTTTCTAAAAAATTTGTATTGTGAAAGTGTAGCGAGGGCCAACGCAGCAAGGTCAGCGTCGAAGCGCTACTCACCCTCTTTTGCCTACAAAAGAGGGACGTGAGGCCATTCGGCCTCACCCACGTTCTTCATTTCTAGTTCCAGCTTCGTTTTCCAGTTCTCGTCCTAGTTCTAGTCTTCTTATTCTCGCCCAAGCTGGCGAAAACCCAGTCTCTTCCGCGCTTCAAAGCTCCGACAACGCTCCTCACCGACATTCTGCAGCACAATATTACCGCGATGACTTCCGCCAATTCTGCTCCGGCTCGCGCGGTGAATAACATTTCTACCCCCGCTAACGCCCAGGCGCTCGGAACTTCGCCTGGGGGAACCGACCGACGTCAGAAACGTCCTGCTGAGGACAATTTTGGCGAGGGCCCCTCGGCAGTCGAGATTCTGCTCGGCGGCAGTCACGCTGCTCCAGAAGAAACTCGCGCGGCTGCAAAGCAGCCGCGCGTGCAGGCAACGGAAGTCCACGCGTCAGCCCGAGGCGCGTCGTCTGCAGGCCAGGCGGGCCCCACCACCCAGCACGCGCCTGCCGCCGACCCCGCGCCAACCGCCGCCGCCCCCGCCTTGACTGCGCACCAGCTGCAAGCGCTTTTGGCGCTGTTACAGCAGCAAGCTCCTGCTGTTACAGTCGGAACCTCATCCGATAACGCTGCACCTACGACCAATTTTAACAAAAAGAAAGAAATGGCTACCCATCCTCGCACGCCCAAGGCTCCCCGCGCCGACGACCAGCCCCCGGCACCAACTCCCGCACCCGCTGACAACCCCGATGACAGCGACGACTCCGAAAATGACGATGGTGAGGGTCCCGCCAACATTGCTCGTCGTCGCATCCTCGCACCCGCCCCCCCCCTTCCCCCCCTTGGTCCCACGCCCGCAGCTACTACCTTCATGCGCAAGGGCGTACGCGACCAGGCCGAGGTCTTCACTGCCATCGAAGCGTACCTGAAGCATATCGACTTCAAGCTGCAGCACGGCGACGTCGTCGGCGCACTCAACAACGTAAAGGATATCGAAATACTTATTAATAAGCGTTTCCAAGTCCTTCTTGTTGCGGACGAAGCCGGTTTCGAGGCCGCCGACCGGTTCCAGCTCTATCAGTCCAAAAGTGTCCTGACATCCCGCTCCTACAAGCTGGCGGTCGCGGATGTGGCAGCGCTCAAGCGTGCACGCCTCGGCTATACGCGCGGCGGCCGTCCCGGTGGTCGCGACACGGACTCGGACATCAAGGGCTCCCCCCCTGCTACGTGCCAGCAGCCGCGCTTCAAGGGAGTCTGCTTTCGCTGTGGCCAGCCAGGCCACATGGCCAATGCATGCCACATGGGAGGGCGTGGTGCGCAAGGTCCCTCACCGGTGGTGTGAGCGGTTGATAGGGCGGCGCCCTCTCCCACATGCAAGAGGCATAGTGGGTTGCACGGTAGGTGCATGGCCGGTGGCCAGCCTTTTGCCAAAGGCAAGGAGTCTTCGCTGACTAGGGTGGCCCTTGGGGACAGCAAAGGCTGATAGGCCTAGGCTTGTAATAATTCCTATGATTGAATTAAAGGCTCGACCGTGTCACGGCCATCCGTTTTCTTCCAAAAAAAAAAAAAAAAAAAAAAACCCTTGAGGGGGTTGGGGGGAGGGAGGGGGCTACAAAACCCAGTCAACATGGCTGGTCAGCCTTGAGCATGGCCTCCGACCCCTCACTTTTTTCTTTGCCGACCACGCAACACGCCCCGAGAGCTAACCATGGAGGCACGCTCGGCACCCAACAAAATGGTGCGCACGCACGCACTCGGAGATGCACTATTTAAGAGCCAAGGACAGAGTCTAGGAGCTCAAAGCTAACACAAAGAGTGGCCCAAACAAGGAGAGCAAAAGAAGGAGGAGGAAGAAATGTAAGCCAACCACCAACGAGCACCAACGCGCTTAAAAAATGTTCACGTACGAACACAGCACGTGATTTCTTCGCACGCAAAGGAAAGAGGGAAAGAGGGAGATCAAGAGATGGAGAGAGAGAGAAATAGCAAGCGAGAGAGAGAAAGAGAGAGAGAGAGAGGGAGAGAGAGAGAGAGAGAGAGAGAGAGAGAGAGAGAGAGAGAGAGAGAGAGAGAGAGAGAGAGAGAGAGAGAGAGAGAGAGAGAGAGAGAGAGAGAGAGAGAGAGAGAGAGAGTGAGAGAGAGAGAGAGAAAGAGGGAGAGAGTGAGAGAGAGAGGGGGAGAGAGAGAGAGAGAAAGAGGGAGGAGAGAGAGAGAGAGAGAGAGGGAAAGAGATAGAGAGAGAGAGAGAGAGAGAGAGAGAGAGAGAGAGAGAGAGAGAGAGAGAGAGAGAGAGCGACAGAGAAAGAGAAGGCGGATAGAGAGACGAGTACCCCTTGCACCTTGCAAGCACCTAACACGGCAGTGGCCGTGCGGTCCGAGCATGTCATGCCCCGTCTACACTTGCCCCGCATCGTGCACCTGCTCACGAGCACATGATCTTACTCCCATCTATGAACCCATGTTTATAACCTCGTATAATGCAGAGATCCCAAGTGGGTGGCCATCATGCGCAGTCGACTGCGGCATGCCTTGCACTGGTGGTGCTCCTGGTGTGACAGTAGCTTTATCCTCTCCGTCATCGCTAAAGGGTATTGGCTGCCCTGGAAGAATACAGCCCCCACACCCTTCGAGGACAACAACCATGCCGGAGTCTGCACGCACCTCGACTTTACTCGCGTCACAATTCGCGATCTTGTAGTGACCGGCGCTGCTGCAGTGATCGAGAAGAGAGACACACTAACATGTGTCAGCCCACTGAACGTCGTGAAGCAACGCGACAAATGCCGCCTCGTCCTTGACCTGCGGAAAGTGAACACCCACCTTGAAGCCCCCAAGTTCAAGTACGAGGGTCTGAATCGTGTAGCCGAGCTCATCCGCCGAGATGACTGGATGTTTTCCATCGACCTGAAATCTGGATACCATCATGTCGAGATTCACCCTTCGTGTTGGCAGTTTTTGGGCTTCCAGTTCGAAGGCATCTACTACTCCTTTCGGTCACTGCCGTTCGGCCTTGCAACTGCTCCATTCGTTTTCACCCAACTAATTAAACAACTTGCCAAGCGATGGCGGGCAAGCGGCGTTCGAGTGGTCCCGTATGTTGACGACCTATTATTTCTCTGCGATTCCCACCAGCAAGCGTGCTCGACTCGTACGACAGTCCTCCAGGACCTTAACGCAGCTGGCTTCGTCATTAACGGCAAAAAATCGCACCTCCACCCCTCGCGTCAGCTTCGCTTCCTCGGATTGGAAATCGACTCCACCCGCGGCACGTTCTCCGTCGGACTCGAGCGAAGGGCTCAACTCTTAACCACGCTTGAGGCCTTGATAACCCAAGGACAATCAGGAAGGCATATTCCCGGTCGATCCCTCGCAAGAGTTACAGGCATGCTCGCCTCTATGGCCCTAGCACTGGGCGCGACGGCACGAGCATTCAGCCACGAACTCCTGCGACTTATTGCCGACGCAACATCCTGGCACTCCAAGGTCCTCCTGCACCCGGCAGCGGTGGACGAGCTATGTTTCTGGCTGGCGCAATTCGACAAATTTAACGGCGCCCCATTTCATCTCAGTCACCAGTTCGACGCCGTCATCCACGTGGATGCAAGCGCCCACAGTTGGGGTGCCATCCTCACGCCGCTCCCTGGGATCCCAATAGAAGCAAGCTCCCGCATGCCAGAAGACCTCCTACACACTTCCAGCACCCGAAGGGAACTCGAAGGCATACTGTGTGCACTAAGAACCTTTGACACCCACATCTCCAAACGGCACGTGTTAGTTCGTGTGGACAACCAGGGGGTTGTATTCATACTGCGCAAAGGCGGCTCCAGCATCCCTGCACTCACACTACTTTGCCAGGCGATCATCGACCTTTGCTTAAAAAACCGGACACGCCTTGCCATCGAATGGATTCCCCGGGAGCTGAACGCGCACGCCGACGAACTCTCCAAACTCCAGGACCGAGATGATTACTCACTCAAATCCCCATGGTTCCGACTCCTCGACCGCCGCCTGGGGCCTCACTCTGTCGACCTATTCGCGAATGTTCACAACGCTCAACTGGGGCGCTTCTGCTCCAAGATTCCTCACCCCAAGGCCACAGCAGTTGACGCCTTCTCGTTCAGCTGGCATGATGAACGCGGCTTCGCGTTTCCCCCCCCCCACCTCATCCCGGCTACTCTGCGCCACGCCCAACGCACCCACGCCGAGTTGACGTTGGTCATTCCCGAGTGGCCAGGAGCCTCTTGGTGGCCCCTACTGCAGCCAGCACCACGAACCTGGGCACGAGAAGTAAAGGCACATATTCCCCTCACTCAAGGCAGCCAATGCCTATCCCCAGGCACACACTCACTCGCCTTTGCTGGTCGCGGTTTTCCCAATAGCCCGATCATTGCGTTGCATGTGACATATAAAATATAACCCCACCGTGCCTGGGCTCTCTGTATTTCAGGCTTATTATCAAAACTACAGACACAGCTACTTCGGATAATCAGTCATGTCCGCGCGCCATCCACTATAAGGACCTACGAGCCGTATTGGCTCAAGTTCCGCTCCTTTTGCACGAAGGTCAAGCTGAGCTACCTGCCTGCCACAGACACTACTCTAGCGCTCTACCTTGTCTATGCCCTCAACAATCAGGCCACAGTATCCGCCATATCCCTTACGTGCTCCGCCGTCGCATTTGCACATCCGATGACCGGAGAACCCTCTCCCACTAGCGGGCCTTTCACTTCACAAGTTCGTGAATTCTCCAAACGCCACGGCCCGTGCACCACCAGGACGAAGGAACCCTTGTCGCTCCACCAGGTGCACGCCATGGCACACCCCTTCCTTGAGTCGAGCAGCCCGGCAGAATATCAGAAAGGACTGATCCCACTCCTCATGTTCGCGGCATTCCTCCGCTACTCCGACCTCGTCTCCATCCAGTGGAACGACATCCACTTCGACGAGGAGTCTATGTGGATCCTAATCCCGCACTCCAAGACGGATCAAGACGGCAAGGGCTCATGGATCCCCGTTGCTCCCACAACTGGGCCTTACTGCCCAGTCCGTTGCACCCAGCGGTTTCTGCAACTCGCGGGACACCCCACCACCCCGCATGGACCTCTGATCCGTGTCTTTGGCACCAGCGGCAGGGCAACCCCTCACGACAGCGCTCCGTCATACACAACCATCCGCAACTGGTGCCTCGAAGCCTTCGCCAAGGCTGGGCTTGACAACAGACACCTCGGCACTCACTCCTTCCGCAAGGGCGCCGCAACTGCGGCAGCTAACTTGGGGATCCCTGACCGGCTCTTCAAGCGACTCGATCGCTGGCGTAGCGATACGGCCAAAGATCTCTACGTCACCATTGCGCAGGACCAGCTCCTTGCGGCATCCACACGCATCCAAGACGCGTCCGCCGCTCCATCGCTCAGACATCACCAGCTCTCCATCGAGCGACACCGCCAGCCCCTGCTTCACATGCCTCAGAAGACCCATATGAAATGAAGCACGCTGCCTTTGCCAAGGTGACCCAAGCAAGCTTTCACAATATGTAATTTTTTGAAAGCGTGTAACACTTTCTAAAAAATGTGTATTGTGAAAGTGTAGCGAGGGCCAACGCAGCAAGGTCAGCGTCGAAGCGCTACTCTAACGAACAGTGAAATTTTATGAATAGAGAGAGAGAGTACACAAACATATACCTAAATGTTGTACTCTCTAGAAGATAACCCTATACAGTCTATACAAGCATGATAACTAAACATGTTTGACACACCCCCTGGACTGCATAGGGGAATGTTCTAGACAAGCAGCTCAGGGTGGCACTACTAGTCCAGCCTCTGAGACAAGGGTCTAAAAGACCAGTCAGAAGGAGTACAGGCAAGGCAAGAACTAGTACAGGGCGGCACTACTAGTCCAACCACTGTAAGAGGACACAAGTCCAGTCTGAGTGTACACACAGATATATAGGACAGTACAGAGTCAAGGCCCGAGTAAGTGAGAGACTACAGGAACCAGACCAAGCTGTACACAGTGCCGCTGATGATCTTTAGGCGCAAGCGCCTTCGTAAAGATATCAGCTGTGTTGGCACCGGAGGCTAAGTGTACTACGCGAGCCTGGCGACGCTGCTGTAGCTCACGCAGGAGGAAGTACCGCAGCTGGATGTGCTTCGCTCTGCCCTCGAGTCGAGGCTCCTGACACAGGAGGATCATGGCCCTGTTGTCAGCGTACAGGACCGGGGCAGAGCTAGGCCGCTCACCTAAGTCAGTGAGCAAGAAGGTCAGCCAGCGGAGCTCCTGTGCCGCCATGGCACCGGCGTAGATCTCGGCCTCACAGCTGGACTGGGCAACAGACGAAGAGCGGGTAGCTCTCCACGAGACAGCACCTGAACCAAGGCTAAAGCAGTAGCCCTGGGAAGACCTGAGCGTCTCGGCGTCGTCTGCCCAAGAAGCGTCTGTGTGTCCAGTAAGGACCACTGGCCTGCGTCCGCCTAGCACTAACCCCATGCCCGATGTACTTGCAAGATAACGCAAAACCCTCTTAGCGGCAGACCAGTGCTGAGGTCGGTGCCTGCCTGTGGCCACGAAACGAGCCAGGATGCTGAGAGGGTATGCGAGATCTGGGCGAGTGCAAGTCATCAGGTACATGAGGCAACCCACTAGCTCAGCGTAAGGACCACTGGGATCTACCGACTCCTCAGGAACTGGAGCGGAGAGTCTGTGGTCCAGAGGAAGAGGGGTGGGCTGTGCGGAGGAGAACTGAAGGCCGAACCTCTGAAGGACCTGGCGCACCAAGTGTGACTGAGTCAGGGTGATGGTGCGCGCGGCTCTGTCCCTGGAGATCTGCAAGCCAAGGTAACGGCGCAGCTCTCCAAGGTCAGTGCAGGTGTGTCTCTTCAGCAGCTCTGCCTTCACGGAGGCCAGTGCGTCCCTGTCAGCAGTGGCAAAGACCAGGTCGTCTACGTAGACGAGGATGTAGAACGGAGTCGAGCCAGCACGAACGAAGAGCGAGGGGTCTGCAGAGGACGGAAAGAACTGCAGGTCAGCAAGGGTAGCACGCAAAGTGTCGTGCCACTCACGAGGCGCCTGGCGCAGGCCGTAGACTGGCCGCCGCAGAAGCCACTGGGTCCCAGGGGGGAAGGTGCCAGTAAAGCCCTGAGGGCGACGCAGGTAGACCTGCTCGTGAAGGCTGCCCTGAAGAAAGGCAGTGGAGAAGTCGAGGGAGTGAAGCTCGTAGTCACGCTGAGCCGCTACGTGTAGCAGCACCCGAAGAGTAGTCATCTTCGGGGTAGGAGCGAAAGTCTGAAAGAAGTCCACCCCCTCGCGCTGACTGAAGCCTCTAGCCACGTAGCGCGCCTTGAACACAGGCGGCTCTCCAGGAGGGCGCTTCACCTTGAAGAGCCAACGGCCATCGACCACGTTCACCCCAGGTGGGGGAACTGCGTCGACGAAGGTGCCGGTGGATCTCCAAGATGCCATCTCCTGCTCCATGGCAGCTATCCACTGAGAGGCCCAGGGTCCCGAAACCGCCTCAGCGTAAGTACGAGGGGTCGGGATGTCGAAAGCGTCTGGGTCACCCTCAGGGACTAGCAGCATGGAACAGAGATGGGGAGCAGCCTCGGACAGGAAAGCAAGCTCAAACTGGCGGTCCTCCAGGACGTCACTGCCGAGGGCAGGAGCACCCCCGACAGACGGAGGACAGGCAGGGTGAGAGACCAGAGCGGTGGCGTAGTCAAGGCGGCGGGTAGAGGCGAAGTCAGCGACCGCAGCGACGAGGGCGTCAAGACTCGACACGGGAACAGACGGGTCGGTAACGAGAGAGGCAAGGACCCGAGGAACAAGAGGACGAGCGGCACGAAAGGAGTCGGACAGAGGAGGAGACGCAACGACAAGAGAAGACGGAGGAGGAGACGGGAGGAGGGGAGGTCGAGACGCGTGGGAACGGAGCAACATAGGGTGAGAGCGCGGGACAGGGGAGACAGGACGAGCACGAGAGGGGCGGCGAGACCAGACGTGTGAGGGCGGCGTCGGGTCAGGAGACAGAGGAGGGGACACAGGAGGGGAACGAGGGGGAAGACGAGCCGGGGACGAGTCTGGCAGAGGGAACACGGGGCCGTAGACGGGAAGAGGGGGAGACGGCAGGAGAGGAACAGGCGCAGGGTCAGGAGACGGAAGGCCGAGCAGACGGAGGGCGGACACAGGCGGGGACTGCTGCTGCGGCGACACAACACCAACACCAGGGCCACAAGCTGCGCGACGGCTACCTCCCGAACCCTCCACACCTGCACCCCCAGAAGGGACACCCCCAGAGTCCACAAACGGCGGCAGCGACGACAGCGGCGGCGGCGGCGGCGGCTGCAGCGACGGCTGCGACGGCGGCGGCGGCGGAGACGACGGCTGCAACGGCGGCGGCGGTGGAGACGACGGCTGCAGCAGCTGCGGCGACGGCGGCTGCGGAGGCGGTGGAGGAGGAGACACCGGGGGAGGGACAGACGGCAAGGACTGCGCCGGAGGACTACCAGAGTCAGAAGACTCGTCGACCGGGACGACCGACGGGAGGGGGGTGACGTGAGACACACCAGAGGGGGCCGGACGGGGGGGCGGGGGGGGGGAGGGGCAGGGACCACCAGGGAGGGAGGAACCAGGAAAAGGGGGGGAGTAACCGGGGGACCACGGTGGGGAAAGCGGCGGTAGAAGGAGACGGACTCGTCAAAGGTGACGTCGCGAGAGTGAAAGAAGCGGTGAGACGGCGGGTGGTAGAAGTGCCAGTCGGACGCGTCAAGGGGGAAACCGAGGAAGACGCAGGAGAGGGTGCGGGCAGTGAGCTTGTCCGTGCCAGAGGCACGAACGTGAGCAAGGCAGCCCCAGACGCGGAACGCAGACGCGTCACCAGGGGACCCGGTCCACAGAAGGGTCGCAGAAGGGTCCACATGGTATCAGAGCCAAAGGTCTTGGGTTCAACTCCCAGTGCCAGCGCTGCAGAGGCGCTTGTGTCTTCCACCTATCCCAGCGGAGGGGGGGGGTGTTGAGTGACCCGCTGGGGTTGCCCTTGAGATCCTCGGGGAAGGGCCACAGGTGCAGAGCCTGGGGGGCTATGGGCGCACTTACCCGCTATTCAACAAGCCCTTTTAACCCAGTGGTTAGTGACTGGGTTTCTGACACTACTCACCCTCTTTTGCCTACAAAAGAGGGACGTGAGGCCATTCGACCTCACCCACGTTCTTCATTTCTAGTTCCAGTTTCGTTTTCCCCACCCACCCACCCTATTGGACGGTGTAGTCTATTGGACGAGAACCATGTACTGTAGCCCATATGAAATGAAGCACGCTGCCTTTGCCAAGGTGACCCAAGCAAGCTTTCACAATCACTACACGCACAATGTGCACAAGGCAACAGCCGTCCACTTTCAGCCGAGCATCTGAGCCACCATGGTCTCATCAGGGAGAGCAGGAATGGTGCCTCTCGCTGTGGTGGTGATGGCCCCACATGCGGCTGATGCCGAGTCGACTAAGAACCACCTTCAGCCTTCAGCCCAGCATCTGAGCCACCGTGGTCTCATCAGGGAGGGCAGGAATGGCGCCTCTCACCGTGGTGGTGATCGCCCCACACGCATTGGCAAACCTCAGCGCTTCCCTCAGCTTCCCCTCGTCCGCCAGCAGCCACTCCAAGGCCGCCAGACCATGCAGGGCCTTGGCATCCCCACCACTGGCACTGGCACTGGCACTACTACCACTGCCACCACTGCCGCCACTGGTACTACTACTGCCTGCTGCTGCCACCTTGCGGAGGATCCCCGCAACAAAGGCGTCCCCAGCGCCAGTGGTGTCGATAGCAGCAACACTGAACCCGTCCACTCTTCCCTGATAGTGCTCTGTGTAGTACCTGCATCCTTTCTCTCCCTCTGTTACCAGCAAGAGCCGCAGCTTCCCCTTCCCTTCACCGCTGCTGCTGCTGCTGTTTTTGTGGCTGAGATTGAACAGGGATCGCGACACGTCATCGCTGTATGGGTCGCCGCCATTGGTCAGAAACGCCACCTCCTCGTCGCTCACTTTGATCATGTGCGCGCGATCCCAGATGCTCAAGATGCCATCCCGCGCCGCTTCCTGGGACGGCCAGAGGGGAATCCGGAGATTAGGGTCGTACGAGAGAATAGTGCTGCTGCTGCTGCCGGAGCTGCTGCTGCTTTCGATAGCGTCCAACAGAGCCAGATGCGCGGACTTGCACGGATCTGTGATTAAACTGATGGATCCGTAGTGCAGCACGGACGCGCTTGTAGCGAGGGGGAGATCCAGCTCCTCCGGCTGTAGCAGCATGTCGGCGCTGGGGTTCCTGTAGAACATGAACTCCCGCTCGCCGTCCGATCTGAGTGTGACAAAAGCGAGGGCCGTGCGCGCTCCGGAGTCGAATCTGAGCGCTGACGTGTCAACGCCGTTCGTTTTTAGAATCCCGCCCAGCATGTGGCCGAACTCGTCCTCGCCGACCTTCCCCATGAAAGCCGCGCGTCCGCCGAGCCGTGCGATGCCGACCGCCACGTTGGCAGGCGCGCCGCCAGGAGCTTTCATGAAAGCGGGTGCTTCGGCGAGAGAGACGCCGTTGACGGTGGGGACGAAATCGATGAGCATCTCGCCGAAGCACACGACGAGGCCGGGGGATGCTGCTCCAGAGGAAGCATCGGCGTCAGCTGCATTTGCACCAGTCATGGTGACTTCACTTGGCGAACTGGCTGCTCGGCAGGTAGAATTCGCAATTTTCCGGTGACGCGCAGTTGCTGATTCCGAATTCTTGAATACGGATCTAGCGAGAGGACGACCGGACGTGACAAAGGTGGAATGACCCTTGTCTGGGACGCAGCAGCGAGAGACGGGATGGCTGCGAGCCGAAACGAGGCGACGGTGTGTGACGGCGGTCTCAGAACAAGCAAAGCGCGCCGTCAGAAGAGCAGAGGCGGCGTTGGGAGACGGGAGGATAAGTGCTGACGTGGGGAGCATGACGGAAGATGCGGAGAGCGCTGGGATATGGCTTGCTTGCGGCTGTTGAAACTCAATTCCAAGAAGCTCAAATTCTCGAATTCCCCACTAGCGAATTTCTCTGCTGCTCTAGTTGGGATGGGATGATCCCTGAGATAGGAGGGAGAAATCCGTGCAAGGCCTGGTTGAGATCGGTTTTACACGGTTTGTATTATTACGTATACGGTACGTGTCATCCGCATCCCAGATGGGTGACTCTTGACAGGTGCAGGCGGAGATGAGACGCGAACCGACCAGTAAGTGAGGGGCACGAATGAACCAATAACGTGAGAGCGGCGTTCCAATAACGAAGGATGGACTGAACGGAAAACTCTAAGGAACAGTTGTCGGTCAAGACCAATTCCAGAATAGTCAGCCAGAAGTGCATCAATACAGTGGAGCACAATTCAGTCAGCATACATACGATGATTCACACACATTAGAAGTGACGACCGGAGCAACTGCCGTGCTCTCTCACATGCCCAGCCAAACCCTCCAAGCTGTAGAAACGCGCCTGGAGATGAAAAAGAGGAGGCAGCTGTGTGGCAGAGTGGTGATGGATGGCGACAGCACTGGCAGAGGAGGATCGAGCATGAGCCAGCCAAGGGAATTGGTTTGTGGCCATGCTGTCATAAAACGCTCGACCGTGCCGACGCCACCACCTCCCACACACCACACACGTGCCTGCCTAGTCTTCACCTACCTCGAGGCACGCCACCCCTACTGCTGCTGCTGCTTGCTGCTGCTGCTGCTGCTGCTGCTGCTGAAATGGTGACATTCACTTACTGCTGCACATGGTTACTCTGCATGTGGTTACTGCTGCATGTGGTTACCCTGCAGCATGTGCTCGTCCACCAATGCGATGATTTCATTCATATGTGGCATGCGCCCCTCTGCCAGCTTGGAGAAGAGCTGCACCAAACACAGAGCACGGAAGACATGGATGGGGTGGAGCAACACCATGGGGAACATGTGGAAAAACATGCAGAAAATGTTGGAAGGAGAAACCACCAGAACAAAACATGAACCAAAGGGAGTTGAAAAAGAAGAAGAAATGGTTCAACCACTACCTCCCTCCCCCATGCTCACCGTGCGGCCGTCCAAGACAAGCTCGAACGCGCCAGTGCTGGCCAGAGACCCGTGCATCACGTTGCCAACAATCCACACTGTCGCCGCCGAGCCTAGCCGGTTGGCTCGGATCTGCTCGTACCTGTGGGTTGGGGAGACCCAGCATGACAATAGGATCGACAAGCAAGGTGGGGGGGGTAGTGCAGGAAGAATGGGGAAAGAAAGGGAAATGCGCAGGGGTAGGAAGGGGGGGTGGAGAGGGTGGAGAGTTGTACGAAGGAAGAGCAGTATGAAAGATAGGATACAAGGGGCGGGGGGGGTTGGAGGCTAATGAGGAGGGATGAAATCAGGATCCATTCCAAATACCACCACAAGCACTACCGAGGTCTCACCACAGGAAGAAGTGACCAAGGGGGAAGTGGCCAAGGGGGAAGTGGCCAAGGGGGAAGTGGCCAAGGGGGAAGTGGCCAAGGGGGAAGTGGCCAAGGGGGAAGTGGCCAAGGGGGAAGTGGCCAAGGGGGAAGTGACCATGGGGGAAGTGACCATGGGGGAAGTGACCATGGAGGAAGTGACGATGGGGGAATTGGCCACTGCGAACTGACCACAGGAGGGACAGAACATGGAGGAAACTGAGCACAGAGGATGTAAGTGACTCACCGCTGGAAGAAGGGCGTGGCGAAAACCAACGACAGTCACGGGGGCGGGCCCACCAATACAAGGGGGCGGTAAACTGGCCGTTTGGGGAAGAGTTGGGGGGGGGGAGATGGAACTGACCATTGAGGGAAGGGCGGGGGGAAGCCGACGACGGGCAGCACGGAGTCCCCGCCGAAGATCACGGCGAGCGCCGCCATCTGCGCGGCGGAGAGCAGCTTCGCGAGAAGCCGGCAGTACGCGGGGGGCGGGTGGTTGCCGAGGCTGACCTCCAGGTCCGGATACCGATCCGCGAGGATCTGCCGAACCTGCTGCGCCACCCCCCTAGAAAGACGGGGAGGATGGACGGATGAAGGCTTATGAAAACGCGTCTGGATCGATGGAAGCCGGAGGAGGAAGCAAGCTGAAAGCGAGAGCCGGGACGAATTCTAGGGCGAATCGATTGACTCGGGAGAGCATCAAGAGGCGCAGGAGGAAAGGAGGAAAGGCGGAAAAGGGGAAAGGGGGAAAGGGAAGATATACGGGTACTACCTGTAGGATCAGGAGGTGCAGAAGGAGATTAAGAGGTTATGAACATGGTTGCGATTAGGCACGGCTGACGCTGAAGCGAACATGACACCGCCCCCAGTGGAGCCTGGCGATACACTCGACGGCGAACCAGCGGAAGCAGCGTCAGGCGCGGCGGTGGTGGCGGTCGCACGATCGGATGGCTGCTTGGATGCGGTGAAGGGACGAATGACGTCGGGGGTGAGCGAGAGCGCGACCAGCAGCACGGTGAGGAGCGTCGGTAAGTGCCGCTGCCAATCCATGGTGGCGGGAATGGGAAGCCAAGACAGCTTGAGGCAACAAGACGTGAAAACATATAGAATTGTACTTTATTCAAAAAGTTCCGGAATGTGTGCTCATGCCGGAGTGGTTATCGGGACAGACTAGAAATCTGTTGGGCTCTGCCCGCGCAGGTTCGAATCCTGCTGAGCACGATTTGGTGTAGTTTTGCCACTCCTATTTGTGGCTTGGCGCTTGCTCTTCCAAGTGGGGTGACGGAGAACTTGGAGTCCCATGCAGAGCAGAGAGGACAAGAGGGTCCTTACATTATTGTTGTTGGTACAAAAAGATTGGCTAATGCAGGTGGCTCAAGCTGCTTACTCCTCCCACAATAGAGAGGACAGGTTGTCCGTACATTGTTGGTACAAAACGCTTGGCTAATGCAGGTGGCTCAAGCTGCTTACTCCTCCCCATGCCATACCCCCAAAGTAAATCTGCACAAGAAGCTTGGTTATACTGCTTGTGCCAGAGTGGGACCTAGGCATGCCAGGACTAGCCTGAGCAGTTGGCATTCGTTATACTGCAAGTTTACCTTACGGCAATGTCTGGCAGACTTGACCACTATGACAGGCGAGTGAGTGTGGTGTGGCCACCAGTGCCACCACTGCCTCCACATCAGACTGAATGGACGGCTCCCTTGCTGCTGATGCATGTGTTGGAACACGCCCTTGCCATCACCGCCTCCACATCTGAATGAAACCATGGCTCCCTCCTTGCTGCAACTGTGTGTCGGTGGGAGGAACAACGGGAGAAGAGGGGGGGGAGGGGGTTGTGAGGAGGGTTGGTTGCACTACAGAGGTGCATCTCAAGAGAGCTGGGTGAGTGTGGCTACTAGTTCCTCGACGCCAGACTGAATGGCTGGCTCCCTTGCGGCAGCTGCGTCGGTGGGAACCACATGAGCAGGGGGAGAACGGGAGAAGAGGGGCGGGAGGAAGGGTTTGCACCACAGAAGTGCGTCTTAAGAGAGCTGCATGAGTGTGGCCACCAGTGCCACCACTGCCACGACGTCAGACATGTCGGCTGGCTCGCTTGTGGCAGCTGTGTCGGTGGGAACCACATGAGCAGGGGGGGATGGGTGGCGGGAGAAACGGTCGGCATAAGTTGGACAAATGCCATCAGCCATCCTAGTGATACGCCCCGGCACCAAAAAAGGCTGGAAGGAACACATAACAATGGACAAGCATCAACTCTCTCACTATCACCTCGTCTTATCAACCCTCCCTTTCTCACTGTCAACTTATATATTTTATACTTTACATATAGTTGTGTAGGCTTGTTAGGTGTTCTACAATTGTAGATCCTACTGTATAGGGTATAACACCCTTCTTGTATCTCTCTCTCTTGTCTAGTCAACTCTATTTTCTCTCGTCGATTTTCCTACCTAGCTAAAACCTCTCGCTATTCTCATGCCTACCTTAGTTTCTTAGCTCCTTCTAACATGGTATAAGAGCAGGAAGATCCTGCTGAGCCTCCTATCGATGCTTCCGCCGCGTACTCTCTCCTCTCCCTTCACTTTCGCGTCGCCGTGGCAACCTCCATGTGTTGCCGTGGCGGCCTCGCTGCGCTGCCGCGGCGACCTCGTTGAGCAGCTGTGGCGGCCTCGCCGCGCTGACGTGGTGACCTTGACGCGCTGCCGTGGCGGCCACGTCCTGCTGCCATGGCGGTCTCGACGCGTGACGGCCTCGTCGAGCAGCTGTGGCGGCCTCGTCGTGCTGCTATGGCGTCGTCGTGCTGCCGCGGCGGCCTCGTCGTGCTGCTATGGCGTCGTCGTGCTGCCGCGGCGGCTTCGATGCGCCAGCGCACGGACAGCTGCGGCTAGTGCGCTGGTTTATGCGCCAGCCAGCACGCGCGCACGCCAGCAAGTGCCGCTCCAGCCAAGGCGCCTCGTTGTAGACACGCCCCCTCCCCTGCGTCTCCCCTCATCCCAGCCGTAGCTGATGGCTCCCTTCCTCGTTGTCGCCGGGCCATGCCACGCCGCCGGGTACCATGGCCTTCGCAGTCGGCGCCACCATCGTCGAAGCCGCCGCCGCCGCTGCAGGTGCAGCTGGCTCCGCCGCCGCCGCTGTCGTCGTCGTACCTACAGCAGACGCCGTTGCCAATGTCGCCGTTTCGCATGAGAGGTATAAGCCGCAACCGCTGCAGGACATGGGGGTGCAAGGGCTTGGGGGTGTTGCGTGCGTGGTGTGCTAGTGCCTACCAAGCCTAGGGGGTGTGTCAACTTATATATTTTTTGTATATAGTTGTGTAGGCTTGTTATAGTTGTTCTGCAATTGTGGATCCAACTGTAGAAGGTTTAACGCCCTTCTTGTATCTTTCTCTCTTGTCTAATCAACTCTCTTTTCTCTCGTCACTTTTCCTACATAGCTAAAACCTCTTGCAATTCTGATGCCTACCTTACCGTGATCACCCGGATAGACGCCCCTCCGTAGGATCCTGTAAGTCCCGTGGGATTTATCTCGTGCTTTGGGCCTTATAGCTATTATTCAATTAAACGCCCCCCCTATTTTTAGAAAGTGTGTACCCTATACGCTCCGCTTTTATTTCGTAAAACACTGTACGAAAACGACGGAACGAATTCGGGTAATAGCGAGAATCCTCACCCTGTGCCAGCCAGAAGCGCAATTTGCGCCCTTCGGCTCTTTGCGTCAGCAAGATTCGCGTAAGTAGCCTGCTTCCAGCTTGGCACATTGCCGAGTGGACTTTCAGTGCGATGGATATGAGAATTTTTGTCAAAAGTGATTCCATTGCATGAAACAAAGCAAAAGCTACAATCTGATGTAGAACTATCAATTTGCCTGTCTAAATTTTTTAAACGCCCATGGGCGTATAGTTCTTATTCAATTAAACGCCCCCCCCACGTTTTCAAATCAGTTCTATAAACGCCCCTAGGGGCGTCTATCCGGGTGATTACGGTAGTTTCTTATCTCCTAACAATCACCCCTCCCAGCCCACTTTGCACTTTGAGCTGCACTGCCCAAGTCATGAAGCCTTAAAACCAAGGATGGACGTAGATCTCAGAGTAGCGAGATTAGTTAGAAAGATGAGTACCGAGTACTTTTACCTAGTGGGTTGTACTCTCTAAAGGCATACACCTAACTAGCCTATACTAACATATTGCATATATGCTTAACACACCCCCTAGGCTAGACAAGGGGTAGTGCCAGGCAAGAGACACGCAACTCAGGGTGGCACTACTAGTCCTGCCATTGGAGTAGAGGCCACAAGGCCAGTCAGGAGAATATAATAAGAGTCGTACACAATCAAGGCCCTAGTAAGTGTGAAGCTACAGGAACTGGACCTAGCTGTATACAGTGCCACTAATGATCTTTAGGTGCAAGTGCCTTAGTAAAGATATCAGCTGTGTTGGCACCGTAGGCCAAGTGAACTACGTGTGCCTGGCGGCGCTGCTGTAGCTCGCGCATGAGCAAGTACCGCAGCTGGATGTGCTTTGCTTTGCCCTCAAGTCGAGGATGCTGACACAAGAGGATCACAGCCTTGTTGTCAGCGTATAGAACTGGGGCAGAACTAGGCCACTCACCTAGGTGTGTGAGCAAGAAGGTCAGCCAGCGGAGCTCCTGTGCCGCCATGGCACCAGCGTAGGTCTCACCCTTACAGCTAGACTGGCCAACTAACGACGAGCGGGTGGACCTCCACGAGATGGCCCATGCACTAAGGCTAAAGCAGTAGCCCTGGGAGGACCTGAGTGTCTCAGCCTCATCCGCCCACGAAGCGTCTGTGTGCCCAGTCAGGACCGCTGGTCTGCGTCCTCCTAGCACTAACCCCATGCCCGATGTACTTGCTAGATAACGCAAAACCCTCTTAGCAGCTGACCACTGTGGTCGGTGTCTGCCTATGGCCACAAAGCAAGCCAGAATGCTGAGAGGGTATGCGAGATCTAGACGAGTGCAAGTCATCAGGTACATAAGGCAACCCACCAGCTCTGCGTACGGACCACTAGGCTCTATAGTCTCCTCAGGAACTGGAGCGTTGAGCCTATGGTCTATTGGCAGAGGTGTGGGCTGTGCAGAGGAGAACTCAAGGCTGAACCTCTAAAGGACCTAGCGCACCAAGTGTGACTGTGTGATAGTGATGGTGCACGCTGCTCTGTCCCTGGAGATCTGTAGGCCAAGGCAGCGGCGCAGCTCTCCGAGGTCAGTGCAGGTGTGTCTTCTCAGCAGCTCAACCTCCACGGAGGCCATACGACTGTGTTTGCAGTAGCGAAGGCCAGGTCAGCTACGTAGACAAGGATGTAGAACGGGGTCTGGCCAGAACGAACGAAGAGCGAGGGGTCTGCAGACGACGGGAAGAACCGCAAGTCAGCTAGGGTAGCACGCAGTATGTCGTGCCACTCGCGGGGCGCCTGCCGCAGGTCGTAAACTGGGCACCGAAGCAGCCACTCAGTCCCAGGGGCAAATGAGCAGTGAAGCTTGGCGGGCGTGCAGACTGCCCTAAAGAAACGCAGTGGAGAAGTCGAGAGATTGCAGCTCGTAGTCACGCTGTGGTGCTACGTGTAGCAGCACCCGAAGAGGGGTCATCTTCGGGGTCGGGGCGAAGGTCTGAAAGAAGTCAACACCCTCGCGTTGACTGAAGCCTCTAGCCACGTAGCACGCCTTGAACACCGGCGGCTCTCCAAGAGGGTACTTCACCTTGAAGAGCCTCAGGCCATCGACTATGTTTACCCTAGGTGGGGGAACTGCATTGACGTAGGTGCCGGTGGATCTCCAAGATGCCATCTCCTGCTCCATGGCAGCTATCCACTGAGAGGCCCAGGGTCCCAAGGTCGCCTCAACGTAGGTGTGAGGGGTCGGGATGTCGAGGGCGTCTAGGTCACCCTCAGGGACTAGCAGCATGGAGCAGGGATGAGGCGCAGCCTCGGACATGAAAGCTAGCTCGTACTTTTTGTCCTCTAAGACGTCAGTGCCAAGGGCAAGTGCACCCTCGACGGATGGAGTACAGGCAGGGTCAGAGACAAGAGCTGTGGCATAGTCAA